AAAGAGTAGCGAGTTCGAATATGATGAAGACTTGTTAGAAAACCTCATAGAGAACCGTAGAGACCACTGTGTAGAGAACCCTAGAGACAAACTTTTAAAGAACTATAGAGACCGTAGATCCGTAGAGAACCGTAGAGACGAACCTTTAGAAACCCGTAAAGACAACCTTAATGGGAGCAGTGGAGATAGCATTATTGAAAGCCTTTTAGATATCCGTAGAGACACTCCTGTAGATACTATACTATACTATACTATACTATAACCCCTTGGAGAGAATACGTGCCATGTTAGAGAATCTTCGTGAGGAAGAAGAGGAAAATAAAGCTAATGGGAATTACATTTACGGTAGTAAAATGGCCTGGGGAAATGATAAATTGGAGTCTCGTGAGGACACTTTTCTAAAATCAATACCTTTAGTAGGAGTCGTAGGAGCAACACCTGACAACGTAGACCTGATTCTACAAACTGAGCAAATGAGAGATCAAAATATAGTTCGATTGAGAGCGAAACTAGAGGAAAGTAGCTACGGGAGCACCTCAAGGTAATGGCCAGGTAGAGCCGTGAACCGTGTGTTAACGCCCATGTTAGGGAAATTAGCAGAACCTCTTAGTCAGTCCGATTGGTATAAGCTACTTAATAAAGTCGAATATGCAATTAATAACGCAGTGCATAGTAGCACCCAGGTACCGCCAAGTGTTTTATTGTTTGGAGTAGTACAAAAGGGACCTATAGTGGATGAGCTTTCTGAATACTTGGAGAGTAAATTCAATAATGAACCTAGAGATCTAGTCAGCATCCGTGAGCACGCAGCTGTCAATATTCAGAATTCCCAATAGAGAAACGAAGAGTTGTATAGTAGAAAGCATAGAACTCCTTGAGAATATCAAATAGTTGATTATAGGGCTATACGAAATATCGATACCACTGCAGAAGTCAATAAGAAGTTTGCTTCTAAGTACCGTGGACCTTATAAGATAAGTCGTGTGTTTGATAATGATAGGTACGAGGTCGTTGATATTGTTGATTGCCAGTTAACGCAAATGCCATTTAGAGGTGTTTTAGAACCAGCTAGACTTAAACCTTGGATAAGTAATGTTAATGAAACTGTTGACCTTTATTTGTAAAGATCGTGGTCGATCTATAGTCAGGTCGGCCGAATGTAAATAGTGTAAATATTGTAATAATTAGATAAGGTAACTCTAAGAAACAACACATATAATTATCGATATGATGATGAATCGATTGATCGATTGCTTACGATAGATGTGAGTGCGATCACTAACGACCAGAGTAGACGTTAATAATAATAATATACGGAAAATAAAGATTTTACAAATTGCACTATGCAGCATCAAAAATTTACCTCGATGGTTGCTATATTTTTGGATTCGTTACGAATTCCAAAGTTAAACTGCGTTTTCCAAAAAGTTCCCCGACGCAAGGACCTCAAAGTTCGAAAAATGCTGAAATTGGCCAACTTTCTGGAGCTCATAGAGGCAAACGGATTGTTTGATGTTAAAGTTTTTTAAAAGATAACCTCTTTATCTTTCAAAGCCCATACTTAGAATAATTTTAGGATTTTTATTAAGGGAGAAACAAGTTTTAGAAAACATAGTCAAAAAACATTAAAGCATACAGCTGCGGTCAAAATAGTAGTATTGTTACCGTCCTGTGTATTTAAAAGTTTGTTGTTGTCACTTTTCTTATCCAATAAGTCTAATAGTACAATTATAATCAATACAATATTGACAGAAGAAGTTGAATTACAACAACAAACTTTTAAAAACACAGGGCGGCAATACTACTACTATTTTTATCGCAGCTGTATGTTTTTAAGTTTTTTGACTATGTTTTTTGGAATTTATTTCTGCCTTAAAATAAATTCTAAAATTATTCTATGGGGCTTGAAAGATAAAGAGTGTATCTTTTAAAAAACTTTAACATCGAATCAAACCATAAATCCGTTTGCCTCTGAGAGCTCCGGAAAGTTGGCCAATTTCTGCATTTTTCGAACTTTGAGGTCCTTTTGCTAAGAATCCATGCGTCGGGGAACTTTTTGGAAAACGCAGTTTAACTTGGGAATTCGTAAGGAATCATAAAATATAGCATCTATGGAGGTAAATTTAAAAGCACTAAAAATGCTGCACAGTGTTATTAATATTTATATTAAGTATTTAATATATTATTATTAAAATTTACTTACTTACTGCAAAATTTCCAACAATACCTGAAAGTGAAAATAAAAATTAATATTATATTATAATATTAATATTATATAATATTGCAATAGCCAAATCTATTAAAATAGTATGCCCTTTGCTTACCATAAATTTGCACACTCTTACCAAATTTATATTTCAATTTATTTCAATTGCTTCATCTTTGAGGGATCACACTTTAACTTTCTTAAATAGGCTCTACACAAACTTGTTACTTCGAATGCATCCAAAACTGAGCACAAGGGTTCAAGATACAGCGCAGCGCAAGCAACTCTCTCGCGAGAGACTGCATTTCCAAAACAACAATGCAAGCTACGCAAAAGAAAATTCTCGATCATACACACAAACCCACATAAACATATGCATACATACACCAAAAACTGTCGTCGCAACGCGCCGCGGACTAACCGCATGTCTTCTTCTTTTTCGTTTCGAAGAAAGAATGAGAAGCATAAAAGAAATACAAAAAGTTTTTCTTAAATCTATGGTGATTTTCAAATTCTACTTTTCTGTTTTAAAGAAAATTTTTTTTTAATTTAGAAAAATTCTATAAATTTATAAAAATGTACCGTGTTTTTTATGGCGATTTTCTAAATTCTATGATGGGCTGAAGTACATTTTTTCTTATTGATTTATTATTTTGATTTAAGAAAAAAATAATTTTTCTCTTTTTCTATGGTCTTTTTTCCTAGATTCAAGAAAAAAATTTCTAAAATTCAGAAAATATTTTTAAATTAAGAAAATATTTAATTTTATGGCGATTTTCTAAAATTTAAAAAAAAATTTTTTGAGTGTAGGCATAAAGTAAACTTCTACTTGGCTCTATTACTCGAACGGAACAAAAAAGTTGACAAGTTAAGGGCTAGTACTCAACCCAACAAAAAGTCGTCCGAAACAAAAACTTCATATGAAACAAAATTTTTTAACGTAGTTTTTCATATGAAGTTTTTTGTTTTGGACGACTTTTTGTTGGGTTGAGTACTAAGCCTAAGGAAGGAAGAAAAATATTTCGATTCATACAAGTTGTTTTACTGAAACTTTGAGACCATTGCGCACCGCCTAAACGTTAAATTTTTTTTTTCGCATACATTTATTAGACACAGAAGTCTACAATTTCAGATGCTGAGATCAATCGACCTTAAGAAAGTCCACCCTAGTGTACATGTAAAGGAGGGCTGAGAAATTTATCAATTTATCTGTTGCCGCGCCAATTTCATAACATTGGAAATTACAATTAAATTTATTTAAATTACCAACTCTGCTTACAACATAAATACATTCATTTTCCGAGACAAACAAAAATATTTTAAATATTTGGGCAGGGTTTTATTTTTTAACTAAGTAATTCTTGCTTTTATAATACGTTCCTTTACCGTTACATGGGTCGGTGTCCAGGACTGCCACCATTTTATTTCTATAAATGAGGCTTTTCTAAGCATATGTTGCCACTACGCCTATAGTCCATCAGCTCTGGTATATGCGTTATCTTTAATTTAAAAAAATCACAAATTTTAACCGTCTTTTGGGATAAATCATCAAGAGTGCTAAACCAATTTTGGTAATCTTTTCGGATTGAAATAGTTACATGTCTCTTTTATACGGTCGTTTTGGAAAATACTAACTGAACCACAAGAGAAGGTGGGCGCATTCAAAATTTTAAAGTCATAGCCAAGTTTAAAAATCTTCATTTGTGAACAGCGATTAAAAATTAAATAACAATATTTTCTTCTGCAATGCATTTTTGATTTGAATATAAGCACATGAGCGAAGTTCATGTCATGCAATGCCTGAAGTGTAATCCCCCTCCAGCTTTTAACTTACGCCCATGTATAAATATTTTTAAAGCAAGGGTGACTTGTGCTCAAAAATAGTTATAAGTTACGTAAAATAGTGACAGGTTGGGGACTGTTGGTGAATTGTCACTGTGAAGAAAGTAGGAAAATTAATTTTAAAAATTTCACTACAATTCACACAAACCTGATGAGTGTCACAAAAATTAAGGACATAAGGTGTCTTTGCACACTGGACCCAATGCCCAATATTCTTACATGAACTAGAAAAATGAAGCTACAGACTTGAAACTTGGCACACTTATTATATATGCAAAATCTGGACGAAATTTTGTGCCGATCGGGCCACGCCTTCCTTTCCGCCCTATAGACGCCTATGCACCCTCGGACAAAAATTTACAAAATATCCATTCAAATTGGGCCAATATATACAATAAATTTGTAGTTTATATAAAATAAATTTAGTAAATATCCCCTCAATCCCCTATTCCCTTCCCGCCCCTCAAATCTTAAACTTTTAAACTAAATAATGCATCTTAAACAATTATAACATATTAACTTAATTTATTTTTAATCACTTTCCATATCTAAATCAAAGAAATAGGCATCGATATATTCAAATGTATGTAGGAAAACCAGAAGAGCAAATAGGACGTTTCTAGAATAGTCGATCGAGAGTACAAAAAGCGAGTAAAGTTCAAAGAGAGTCAGTCGGTGTCAAGATCGTTCATAACGCGCAACGTGAAATACCCTTATTTAACTTTAAGTGTTTGCGAATAAGACAAAGAGTGGACTGTATTTAATCTTTTTATTTGGACTGGTAAAACCTCCAAAGTTTCGGCGCTTAACCTCACGTGTGTATTTCAATGGTTTCAAAGTATGTGTGTGTGTTCTTAGGGATGAGCAGTAGAGATACATAGTTATCGCCTACAACAAAGTTTGTAATTACTGCATTAATTCTTAAACATACCGGCTCCCCTGAACGACGCGTTCAGGTAAGGGGAAGTACTGCGATCTTGGTGATAGGGCGTTTGTAGGTTGTATGTGCTGTCTTGACGGTGACCACTCTGACCTTTGAGTCCTGTCCTGGGTGTACTTCCTGGATGCGACCAAGTATCCATTTCGCCGGTGGTAGGTTGGGCTCCTTGAGTACAACAAGAGTGCCTACTTCTAAATTAGTCGTCCCTTCTTGCCACTTGCCGCGTGACTGTAGAGAAGTCAAGTATTCGGTGTGCCATCGCTTCCAAAATCCCTGTACCATGGCTTGAAGTTGATTCCACCGATCCAATCGATTCATCTGCGTGTCCAGTAAAGAAGGCTCAGGTACCGCTGTATATGGCTGGCCAATCAAAAAATGAGCTGGCGTAAGTGGATCGACAGTGTGATCGCTGACCTGGGCCAGTGGTCGCGAGTTGAGAATAGCTTCGATTTGTGCGAGCACTGTTGACAATTCTTCAAAGGTTAGGGCGGCTGCTCCCACAACTCGGCGTAGGTGCAGCTTTACCGACCGCACTCCCGATTCCCACAATCCGCCAAAGTGGGGCGCAGAGGGGGGTATGAAATGCCAATTCAAGCCTTCAGTCGAGAAAAAATCAGCCAACTCCTCGTCCTTAGCTTGATCTTGAACTAACTTCCGCATCTCCTCCAGCTCTCGTCTTGCTCCATGAAACGTAGTTCCATTGTCGGAATACAAATCGGTGGGGGTTTTCCGACGTGCACAAAACCGTTTGAACGCAGCAATGAACGCTTTTGTGGTGAGATCGCTGACGACTTCTAGGTACATCGCCTTTGTGGCCAGGCAAACAAATATGGCGAACCAAGCTTTGCCGATGCGAGGAGAGCGACCTTTCGTTTCCTTAATAGCGATGGGTCCAGCGTAGTCAAGGCCAGTGTGACTGAAGCAAGGATTTTGTTGGATTCGTGGTATCGGTAAATCGGCCAAGATCTGGTGCTGCGTCAGGCGTCGGTTCATAAAGCAGGATTTACAGCGGAAAACTACTTTACGAGTCAGGTTTCTGGCTCCCAAAATCCCGAATTGCTGACGAACGTGGTGGAAGGTGGCATCTACTCCCGTGTGTAAATTAGCCTTGTGAAAATAGCGTATGATGAGTAGTGCCAGCGGAGATTCCTTTGATACGATAATCGGGTGTTTTGCGTTGAACGGCAATACTGATCGGTCGATACGTCCACCGATGCGTAACAGTCCAGACTCATCTAAAAACGGTGTGAGCCTCAACAACTTTGATTTTCTGGGCAGGCATTGACCATGCTTGACAGCGTCGTAGTCCAACGGAAATGAAGTGATTTGCATGTGTTTTAACAATTTCTTCCGAGCGTACTGCAAGTCCTTAGTTGTCAAGAATCCGCTATGTGAAACAGCTTGTTGCGATGACCTTTGGAGATCCGAGTTTTTGGTAAGACGTGCATTCACCTTGGAGCGCACTTTGCTTATGAAGCGGAAAACGTAACTAACAACTCGCAAAAGCTGAATCCAACTCGAAAGTTTGTGACTTAAACCATCGAGAATATCCTGATGAGTAGCTTCCAGTGAGAAATTGAGTTGCTTGTCCGGTTTTTCTTCACAAAGTGCCTCTACAGGCAGCTTTCGATTCTGCCCTTTTTTGCCAGTGGGCCACAAAGACGGCGATTCCGCTAACCAGGTAGGTCCTGTCCACCATAGAGTATGATCCCGCAATGTGGAGGGGAGCAGACCGCGGGACGCGCAATCCGCTGGGTTGTCCTCCGAACGTACATGGTTCCAGCAGCTTCTGGGATACTCTGTCAATATTTCAGCCGTCCGGTTGCATACGAAGGTGTTCCATCGTCGAGGTGGGGCTGACAGCCAGTGAAGAACGACCTCAGAGTCCGTCCAACAAAAGGTTCCGGTAATCGGGATTGACAAAGACGACTTGACGAGCGTTAGTAGTTTCGCTAGTAGGTGAGCTGCTGTGAGTTCCAGTCGCGGTATCGAAATAGCTTTGATAGGAGCTACCCGAGTCTTGACTGCGATTAGCGTGACAATCGTTTCCATCCCTGTTGTAACTCGACTGTATACAACGGCTCCGACTGCTTGTGAAGAGGCATCCGCAAATCCATGCAGCTCGATAGCTTGCGAGGGTCTGGCCAAGTATCGAGGGATTGGACATTGTGCCAACATTGACAGCTCGCCTGCTAATATGCTCCATCTCCTGGCAATGTTTTCAGTCAAGGGTTCATCCCAGCTTAGAGAACAGAGCCAACATTCTTGAAAGAGTATCTTCATCATAACTGTAGCTGGGGATACAATACCCAATGGATCATATATCTTGGAGAGCTCTCATAGTAAGGTCCGCTTGGTGGGCAATTGTGTGACAATAATTGATCGTGGAGACGTAGAAAATGTGTCCGTATCGGGATTCCAAAGTAGACCCAATATTTTCACATTGTTCGATTGAGTGGTGCCTGCTTGGAAAGCGCAATCCTCCTTTGGTAAGGAATCCATAAGTGTTTTGCTATTGGAACTCCACTTTCGCAAGTTGAATTTGGCCTCCGCCAGCAGCCCGACAAGTTCCTTCTGCAGTTTTATGAGTCCGTCCTCTGTATCCGCACCTGTTGATATATCGTCAACGTATGCATCCGTTAATAGTGAGGAAGCTGCCAGTGGATATCGGTGATGATAGTCGTCTGCCAATTGTTTGAGAACTCTTACTGCCAGAAAAGGTGATGGTGCTAGCTCGTAAGTTACAGTTAGCAGCCGATAGTGCTGAAGCGGGTCCCTTTTCTTCCTTTCGCCAAACAATTCGTTGATAATCAGAATGTTCGGGAGCTATCTTTATGCCCCGGAACATTTTCTCAATGTCCGTACAAACCACATATCGATATTGTCGGAATCTCAAACAAACTCCGAAGAGATCTCGTTGAATCGGCGGGCCGATGTGTAAGCGATCGTTGAGAGAATGGCCGGTGATATCCTTACCGGATCCATCAAATACCACACGACATTTGGTTGTGGAACTTTCCGCTTTGAGGACGGCATGGTGAGCTAGATAAAAGCAATTCTTCTCTGGCACGTTGAGCTGGGGTTTATCCAGCATTTCCATGTGCCCCCGTTGTAAATAATCCTTCATAAATTCACAATATTGATTTTTCAATGCTGGGTTCCGGCGAAATTTGATTTCCAGCATTGCAAATCGATTCAAAGCCTGACGCAGAGAAGGGTCCTGAATTGTCGGCATGTCCTTCTTGAACGGGTACTCCACAATGTATACGCCGTCCTGATCTCGTTTGTGGGTGTCGACAAAGAGCTGCTCCACGGGATCACATGCATCGATAGTTGCCTGACTGGGCTGAATAGTGTCCATTTCCATGAATGCCCTCACCGCCTCGTCCAAATCGACCTGAGCATGATGAGCCTGTTCCGGTTTTTCAGTTACCTGTTGTAAGTCCCCGGAACCTGCAATTACCCAACCAAAGAACGTGTTAAGTGCGAATAAATTAGGTTTACTTAACAGTTTTCGTTGGCCGTTGGAAGCTCCATAGCTGGTCCGATCCGATAATGACATCAATGTCTCCAGGGGTGGCGAACATGGGGTCAGCCAAGTCTAATCCTTGTATGTCTCGCCAATTGTGTATTTGTACCTCTTCGGCTGGTACATATGCAGTTAAAGAACTCATAATTAGAACTTTAATCTCCTGGACGTCCTGCGAGACTCTTGATTGCAGTTGAATTGTTGCACATCCTCGAGTTGTACCTGCGGCTTGAGCAGAAAGACCCATTACCGAAATGCGCGCGTGGGTACGAGGTGCGCCAATGCGTTGAATGAATGCCTCCGTGGCCAATGTAATGGTTGATCCCGAATCCAAAAGAATTCGGCACAGCGTCCGTGTACCACATCTGTCCACCACATAAGCTAGTATGGTGGGCATCATGGTCTGCGCTCGAGCAAGAAATGCAGTCTCTACGGAGAAGTTCGATATTCCGGCTGGTAGAGCTTCGGTTCTTGTGCCGCTGCTGTCCGATGAGTTAGCGGCTGGGGGCTCACGTTCCCCTTGTGATTCTTGATGTACCAATGTATGATGTGATCCTTTGCAGAGCCGACATCTGAATTTCGAAGTGCACTGCCTAGCGACATGGTTGCGACTCAAACAATTAAAGCACAATTTGTGAAGCTTTACGAATGATCGCCGATCCGGTATTTCCATTGATAGAAATTGAGTGCAAGCCATTATCGAGTTTGGTTGGGTGCAGACAATACAAAGTTTTTGTGATGGTTTTGAAGCTTCGCCAGCGATGTGTACGTTGGCGGTGCGCCTCCCGTATGCCTTGGGAGTTGATTGACAAGATTCCAGAGCGTCGCATCTGGAGAACAAGAATTCCAAGAAGGTCCCGATCTTCACGTCGTTCGAGCAGCCTTCTTGCCGTTCCGCCCATGATTGGCGTGTGTCCATATCCAATTTGCCTAGTAGTATGTGGATTAGCCATGGGTCCCGCTGATCACATCCAAGTGCGTGTAGTCCTCGAATAGATTCGTCTGCTGTATCGGCCAGCTTGCGCAGGGCAGCCACTCCCGAAGCTGCAACGTTGGGTAACGACAAAAATCCCGCAATAAACGAGCGCGTTATAAGTGCCTTTTTGTCGTACCGATGGACGAGTTTATCCCAGGCTTCCGCATAGTTCTCCTCGGTGACGGCAATGTGTTTCACCAAGTTGAGGGCATCTCCATCCAAATAAGACTTCAAGTAGTGGAATTTCTGGCAGCTTGTTAGGTTTTCTCGTCGATCAACCGATCCCAGAAAGAGATCACAAAATTGAGGCCAATCTTCGTAGTTGCCTCTAAAAGTTGGAATCTTGATCTTTTCAAACCTCAAGTGTGTGTATGTGATTCCCGAACCTGCTTTAAGAACTGTGTCTGCGAAGCCACCAGCTGTGCCTGCGAGGTAGCCAGTCGTTTAAGTGGGTCCTCCCCGTTGGCGATTAGTGTAGATGAATGTGGGTTTGTCCTTTTCCTTTCTGCTATGGCATCTGATAACAAAGCGTGCAATTCGTAGTACTTGGTTTCGTCCCCGAGTAGATCATCGGGTTCGGCCAAATCCTCGCCTTCAGAGAGGGAGTAAGTTTCCGCCGACAGCTTTAGAAGTTGATCGAACGTGTCCATGATACGGCGAAGATGATGTTCCAAAGCTGTTACGGTCGATATGAACTCCGAGGCCCGACCATGTGCACGTGTGATTTGCGACTTGCAAAACCCAAGTTGTGTTTTCACTGCTTGCGGCGACATTTCAATGATTGAGGTTAAGCCCGATTTCACCAAAATGTGAAGTTTAATCTAATTTGTTAGAAAACTAAACGAGACCGATGGATCCGGCTCGAAGGACCAAAATGTTTGCGAATAAGACAAAGAGTGGACTGTATTTAATCTTTTTATTTGGACTGGTAAAACCTCCAAAGTTTCGGCGCTTAACCTCACGTGTGTATTTCAATGGTTTCAAAGTATGTGTGTGTGTTCTTAGGGATGAGCAGTAGAGATACATAGTTATCGCCTACTTAACTTACGATATATCGATACAAAGCATTACAGGTATTCCCTATTTCTTAGCGGGAAATATCGGATGGAAATAAAAACAACAAAGTTTGCAATTACTGCATTAATTCTTAAACATTAAGTCAAAACCACAAGTAAGCTTGTAATCGCTAGCCTAAATATCAATAATACATATAATAAACAGTTTTATAATAATACAACGTCGTCTCAGGAGTGTTCGTCATGAAACGGAATACCGGGCCCACATGTATCCAGTCATCTTCATCATTATTATCCAAGAGCATTTTTTTTATTTCAGCATCAACATAAGCAACAAAGTTCTTAGCCCTCTTTTTCAAAGGATCCTCAATGTTTTGCCTTAAGTTTCCAATTCAATGCTGCAACACAAAAATGTAAAGGCTTTCAGTTTCCAGTCCATGTGCCAGCCAATACTCTAGCATTTCTGCATAGCTTAGGTCCATGTTGTCTAGCAAAAAGTTTTTTTTTTAAAAGGAGCAAAAACGAGCAAAAAAGGTTTATGTCAAAGTATTGTAAATACATTTAAGAACAAAACTGCGTTATTAGTTTTTATAATCCGGCACAATTCAACCTTCTTTTATTCCACGAAACACGAAAAATGCTAGGCTAAAATTGTTAACAAGAGAGAACGCTATAGTCGGGTGCCCCGACTATCAGATACCCGTTACTCAGCTAAAGGGAGTGCGAAAGAGATGGAGAAAAACTTTGATCCGCCGTAACTTTTTAACGAATGGTCCGATTTAAAAAATTTCTTCTACATTTCGATAGGTATTGATAAACACAATAAAACTGCATTTTTACTTTTCCAAAATATTGAAATTTTTAAAATCGTATATAAGCGATTGTGGGCGTTAGAGGGGGCGTGGCACCCTTTTGAAACAAAGTTGCGCTGCGTAGGAACTCCTAGAATCTGCATGCAAAATGTCAATCTTCTAGCTTTTATAGTTTCCGAGATCTCAGCGTTCATACAGACAGACAGACAGACGGACAGACAGACGGACAGACGGACATGGCTAGATCGACTCGGCTAGTGATCCCGATCAAGAATATATATAGTTTATAGGGTCGGAAACGCTTCCTTCTACCTGTTACATACTTTTGCACGAATCTAATATACCCTTTTACTCTACGAGTAACGGGTATAAAAATTGTTAAATATACATCTTTACAAAAGCACGTATACACAAAGACACATCACTTTTAACAAATATTGCACTAAACACTATGTTTTAAAATGTTAGGTAGAACTTTTGCAATCTTACTTTAAAATATGCTATTGTTCAGCTTGTCAAAAAGTCAACATTTCAGTTTAACGAACAGTTGACTTTTAGGGCCACCGAATTTAGCATGGCTGCAATTTCAGTAACGAAAGTGCGATTTTTAAATGCAGCCTATATTATTCTAAGGAGATAAAATGTTTTTTTTTTCGTAACTTAAAAAAAATCGGTTTTTAAAAAAATATTGGGCATTGGGATCAGTGTGCTTTGGATCCAAAATGCATTGTAAAAGAAAAAATTTATACCCGATACTCGTAAAGTAAAAGGGTATATTGTATTCGTGCAAAAGTATGTAACAGCTAGAAGGAAGCATTTCCGACCCTATAAAGTATATATGTGGGAAAAGAAAGGAAAACAAGGAGTGGTCAGGTCTATAATAGCTCTGCCTAGACCTTAGACACTTACTTTAGTATATTTTTGTTAACATTACATTCAAATCTATTAATATA